ATATATATATATATATATATATATATATATATATATATATATATATATATATATATATATATATATATATATATATATATATATATATATATATATATATATATATATATATATATATATATATATATATAGGGGCCGGTTCCTGTGAGAATGCACCTTGTGGAGAGAAATGAGAATAAAATCTAGCCGTTGGATCTGATGCATCGTGCGGCTCAGATTGCATCCTGCGCTCAGATTTCCAGATAGTGCATTTTCGAAGGATTTTGATGCATTTTGATGTGATGCATTTTTAAACCATTTTGGTGCATCTAATTTTGATGCAATCCTGACCCTTAGATCTCACAATCTAAAGCACCAGATTCATTCTCATTTCTCTCCTAAGATCGCATTCTCACCAGAACCAAAATCTATATATATATATATATTGGAGAATATTTAGTTATTTTATTCGGATAAAAGAAGTTGTTACATCACATAAAATTGTGCCCCTAACATTACGGGGTAAAGTACTGAAATGAGAGTAGTAAGTATATGAGCAAAACTTAAAAGACAACTTAATTTGGAACAAAGGAATAAATATTTTTTTGGAGTGACAATGAGATTCAAATCCAATGACATTTGGGTTAATCATACCGTTCCAAAATGGATGCCCCCATTACGATTACGACATCTCAATAATTTTTGTTTATTTATACTCTGTATATTTCTTTGATCATTTGATTAAATAAAATATATTCTTGTCATTTCTTCTTTTGTAAAACTTTTAATGTTGTTTTGAATGATATAATTTGTATTTTTATTTCTATACTATTTTTTAATTAAAATAATTTTAAAGTGATGAGATTTTACATGTTTTTAAAATAGTAACATATATTTTAGGAGGGAAATACTATTAAAGTATTAATCTGATTATTTAAATTTTAAAAATGTGATTAAGGTACAAAAAAAGTGTTTCGTGATGTAACGATGTAGATATATACCAAAGGAGATATAGAGAATGAAAGTATGAAACTTATCCAACTATGACAGAATCAAAGGATATTGTGGCGAAATCAAGAGAGAATTGTTGTCTATGTGGAGCCTTCTTTGTGTAATCACAATTCTAATTGCGCCGAGTGTAATATTGTTTTGTTCATTAATTTGTTTCTTACTTTATTTATTGAATCGCCTAAACGTACTAGTGTAGCTAATTTTAGAGAGAAAATTATATATGTCCCCATCATTTTGAAAAAAATTACTCCGTATATTTTAGTTCCATTTTGGGTTATATCTTTTGGTTCTTATTTGCAAAATAAGAGTGCTATGTTTATATTTTAAAAATAGAATGATAGCATTATAACAACGTCGCACCATAAATTGATATTTTGCAATATTTTTGTAATATTATATGTTGACATCATATTCTCATTCTGGAAATAAAATTATTAAAATATGAAGTTTCTATTTTGATTCTTTCCTACATTATACCTATATTTTAATCTTTCTCTCTTAATTATTATCTAATACACCCTTACACGTGCATTTGAGATCCGTGCTAAATATAGAATGTAATTTTTTAGAATACTCATTACTTAATATGAGTAGACCTGGCAAAACAGAACCGGAACCGATTACCCGAACCGAAATATCCGAAACTGAAACTGAAATGACCCGAAAAATGAAGATCCGATCTATAACTGAAAACCCAAAATGATTCAAATCGAACCGAAACCGAACTAAATAATTCATATCCGATTTAAATCCGAAACCGATTAGATCCGGAACCAATAATATCCGAACCGATTAAACCCGAAACCGATTAGATCCGAACCCGATAATACCCGAAACCAATAAAATCCGAAACCGATTAGATCTGAAACCGATAATATCCGAACCCGATTAGAACTAAAATCGATAAATTCAGAACTATGTTTGCCTTTCAATAAACATATTATATTTTTAAATTTTTACTTTTATTTTACCATTTGAACTAATTACATTACTTTCTCATTCCCTCATAAAATGGATTATCTTCTTGAAAAAAAGTACAGAATTTTATGCCTTAAATTTAGTATATGTAAAAATTAAAGATAAATTATACATATAAATGATAATGCACAAACAAATAAAATTTTCGTAATTTTTAAATAGTGAAGTGTGATATTCTTTTTGGGACGAAAGGAATATATGATAAACTGTATGGAATAACTAGATTTTATCCTAATTTCATCTGATTACAATAAATTTTATTGATTTGAGAGTTAATTTGATTTGTTTCAAACCAATTCACTCAATATCAGTCAATAAAATTAGATGCTAGTGTTACCATTTTGAAAAGACTCTCTAGCAGCAGCCTTTACTGTTATCATTTTCAAATTTGATCTACACCATTACATTTAGGTGTAAAATTAATTATATTTGACTCTATTAAATTTAATTTTCTCTATTTTCAACCAAATACACTCAATAATTTATAAATTTTGCACTCAATTGAATAAAATTCACTTAATTTCACCCAAATTTACTCAATTTTTACCAAATTGTATTCAAATGAAACATAAGACTACTTGAATTTATCTTTTATCCTTTCATTTACATACATAAGTATATTAGTAGATGTGAGAAAAATTTGATATTTCAAAACTAAATTTTAAAATCAATTTAATTATATTAAATTTATATCATAATTAAATATATATGTTTTCATAGTTTGTAGTCCAAATTTGTAAAATATGACTAAAAAGTCAAAAAGGGAAGATTATTTAGGGTAAAGATAATATAACTAGAAAAAAATATAAAATAATATGAGGTATTGAATTGATGATAGATTGATAAATGTGATAAAACATAAAAAGAAACACGGATAGTTAAATTTTAATTAGAAAATAATATATATCCAAAATATATTTGATCCGAAACTGAAATATATCCGAACTGAACTAGACCCGAAACCGAAATATATCCGACTCAAATTGTATCCGAACCGAAATCTATCCGAACCGATTTATAACCGAACCGTATCTAAACCGAATCGAAACCGAACCGAACCAAAAAATGTATAGAACCGAAATCAAATCCGAACCGAAATTTAACTGATCTGATCCGAACTGAACCGATTATAACATATAACCGAAATATATCCGAACCGAAAAAATCCAACCCGAAACCGATTCGGTTGACCCGATTGCCACCTCTAAATATGAGTCAGTACTCCCTACATCCAATTTAATTAACTATTTTTTGTCTAGATTTTTATTGAAGTTATTTTCAAGATAACTTATTTGAGAATTACGGTGTAATAAAAAAAACTTTGCATAACTACATTAAAAGTTTTACGAAACAAGATATGATGTGATTATATTATTTTATCAAATGACTAACAAAAAAAGAAAAAGGACTAAACGAGGAATAAAATATAAAGAAATTACCAAAACATGAGCTCCATATTTTTAATCTCTAAAATAAGAGTTACAATATCAATAATGGTAGTATATAGTACCAAAAAATATAATGAGATGACATTATATAGTGTCATAATGTCAAAGTGTAAATTTGAATAAAAACATGGAGCTTCTACTTTGAGATTAAATGATTTGTTTACTCTTATCAGAGATGATTTTTTAATAAAAATAAAAAAAAATGAATAAACTTTGATCATTTGAGCAATAAAGAGGCAACTTAATTTGGAACGGAGGATTAAATATATTTTTTTTGGAGTAACAATGAGATTCAAATCCAATGACATCTGGGTTAATCATACCGTTCCAAAATGGATGCCCCAATTACGATTACGACATCTCGATAATTTTTGTTTATTTATACTCTGTATATTTCTTTGATCATTTGATTAAATAAAATATATTCTTGTTATTTCTTCTTTTGTAAAACTTTAAATGTTGTTTTGAATGATATAATTTGTATTTTTTATTTCTATGCTATTTTTTAATTAAAATAATTTTAAAGTGATGAGATTTTACACGTTTTTAAAAAAGTAACATATATTTTAGGATGGAAATACTATTAAAGTATTAATCTGATTATTTAAATTTTAAAAATGTGATTAAGGTACAAAAAAAGTGTTTGGTGATGTAAGGATGTGGATATATACAAAAGGAGATATAGAGAATGAAAGTATGAAACTTATCCAAGTATGACTGAACCAGAGGATTGCATGGCGAAATCAAGAGAGAATTGCTGTCTATGTGGAGCCTTCTTTGTGTAATCACAATTCTAATTGCGCCGAGTGTAATATTGTTTTTTTCTTAATTTGTTTCTTACTTTATTTATTGAATCTTCTAAACGTACTAGTCTAGCTAATTTTAGAGAGAAAAATATGTCACCATCATTTTGAAAAAAAATTATATTTTAGTTCCATTTTGGGTTATATCTTTTGGCTCTTATTTGCAAAATAAGAGTGCTATGTTTATATTTTTAAAATAGAATGATTGCGTTATAACAACGTCGCACCATAAATTGATATTTTACAATATTTTTGTAATATTATATGTTGACATCATATTCTCATTCTGGAAATAAAATTAGTAAAATATGAAATTTCTAATTTCATTCTTTCCTACATTATACTTATATTTTAATCTTTCTCTCTTAATTATTATCAAATACACCCTTACACGTGCATTTGAGATCCGTGCTAAATATAGAATGTAGTTTTTTAGAATACTCATTACTTAATATGAGTCAGTACTCCCTGCGTCCAATTTAATTCACTATTTTTTGTTTAGATTTTTATTGAAGTTATTTTCAAGATAATCTATTAGAATTACGGTGTAATTAAAAAAAACTTTACATAACTACATTAAAAATTTTACGAAAAAAGATATGATGTGATTATATTATTTTATCATTCGTAGCTAACGAATGCAAAACAGACTTTCCCCAATTTGGATAAGTATCTGATGATAATATGAGCCGAATATATATATTAATGACGTATTGCTCAAAGAAGAAAAAATTAAAGTAGGAAATAATTCTAATGTTTGCCTTATAATAGAAATATGGAATGGGAAATTTTAGTAAGGAATGGAGAGTCATACGTCAGTTATGAGTTATCTAGATTCTAGATGGTGATTATGGATTGAAAGATAGGTTTAATATTATATACACCAAAATATGACGAATATATTGTTTTTAAAATGAAAATTTAATTGAGGAAAAGACAAGTGTCGAACTTGTAACACAAAAAATTAAAATAAGAGTAAAATATTAAAAATATATTAAAATAATAAAATATGAAGAATAAAATATGAAGAAATTACCAAAACATGAGCTCCATGTTTTTAATCTCTAAAATAAGAGTTACAATGTCAATAATGGTAGTATATAGTACCAAAAAATATAATGAGATGACAATATATAGTGTCATAATGTCAAAGTGTAAATTTCAATAAAAACATGGAGCTTCTACTTTGAGATTAAATAGTGTGCATGTTAACTCTTATCGGAGGTGATTTTTTTAATAAAAATAAAAAAAATGAATAAAATCTGAACATTTGAGCAATAAAGAGGCATTTTAATTTAGAACAGAGGAATAAATATTTTTTTTGGAGTAACAATGAGATTCAAATCTAATGACATTTGGGTTAATCATACCGTTCCAAAATGGATGCCCCAATTACGATTACGACATCTTGATAATTTTTGTTTAGTTATACTCCGTATACTTCTTTGATCATTTGATTAAATAAAATATATTCTTGTCATTTCTTCTTTTTTAAAACTTTTAATGTCGTTTTGAATGATATAATTTGTATTTTTTATTTGTATACTATTTTTTAATTAAAATAATTTTAAAGTGATGAGATTTTACACGTTTTTAAACTAGTAACATATATTTTAGGATGAAAATACTATTAAAGTATTAATCTGATTATTTAAATTTTAAAAATGTGATTAAGGTACAAGATAAGTGTTTCGTGACGTAACGATGTAGATATATACAAAAGGAGATACAAAGAATGAAAGTATGAAACTTATCCAAGTATGACAGAATCAGAGGATTGCGTGGAGAAATCAAGAGAGAATTGCTGTCTATGTGGAGCCTTCTTTGTGTAATCACAATTCTAATTGCGGCGAGTGTAATATTAATGTTTTGATCATTATTTTGTTTCTTATTTATTTATTGAATCGTCGAGTGTAACATATATTTAAGGATGGAAATACTATTAAAGTATTAATCTGATTATTTAAATTTTAAAAATGTGATTAAGGTACAAAAAAAGTGTTTCGTGATGTAACGATGTAGATATATACAAAAGGAGATATAGAGAATGAAAGTATGAAACTTATCCAAGTATGACAGAATCAGAGGATTGCATGGCGAAATCAGGAGAGAATTGCTGTCTATGTGGAGCCTTCTTTGTGTAATCACAATTCTAATTGCACCGAGTGTAATATGGTTTTTTTCATTAATTTGGGTCTTTATTTATTGAATCGCCTAAAAAATTCTTTCTTGTTTTTTTATTTTGATAAAAGAAGTTTAGTAAATATATTATCATACTCTCACTTCTTATCTACAATATTCGTTTTATTCCACCACATTAAGAGCAAACATAAAAATTCTTTACCATTTTTTAATTTTTTCTTAATTTCCGTGTCAAGTCAAATTGACAAATAATTTTTGGACGGTAAATCTGAAACTACTTAGATCCGGAATCGATTAGATCTTAATTAGATCCGGAATCGATTAGAACTGAAACCGATTTCCGTGTCAAGTCGAAACTAATTAGATCCGGAATCGATTAGATCTGAAACCGATTTCCAATGACATCTGGGTTAATCATACCGTTCCAAAATGGCTACCCCAATTACGATTACGACATCTCGATAATTTTTGTTTATTTATACTCCGTATATTTCTTTGATTAGGGGTGGCAATCGGATCAGTTTCGGGTTGGATTTTTTCGGTTCGGATATCTTTCGGTTATATGTTATAATCGGTTCGGTCGGTTCGGTTCGGATTTGATTTCGGTTCTATACATTTTTCGGGTCGGTTTGAATTCGAGTCGGTTCAGATACGATTCGGTTATAAATCGGTTCGGATAAATTTCGGTTCGGATACAATTTGAGTCGGATATATTTCGGTTTTGGGTCTAGTTCGGATCGGATATATTTCGGTTTCGGATCAAATATATATTGGATACATATTAATTTCTAATTAAAATTTAACTATTTGTGTTTCTTTTTATGTTTTATCACATTTATCAATCTATCATCAATTCAATACCTCATATTATTTTATATTTTTTTCTAGTTATATTATCTCTACCCTAAATAATCTTCCCTTTTTGACTTTTTAGTCATATTTTACAAATTTGGACTACAAATTATGAAAACATATATATTTAATTATGATATAAATTTAATATAAATTGGTTTGAAACTAATCAAATTATCTCTCAAATCAATAAAATTTATTGTAATGAGATGAAATTAGGATAAAATCTAGTTATTCCATACAATTCATCATATATTCCTTTCGTCCCAAAAAGAATATCACACTTCACTATTTAAAAATTACGGAAATTTTATTTGTGTGTGCGTTATCATATATATGTATAACTTCTCTTTAATTTCTACATATAACAAATTTAAGGCATAAAATTTCGTACTTTTTTCAAGAAGATAATCAATTTTATGAGGGAATGAACAAGTAATGTAATTAGTTCAAATGGTAAAATAAAAGTAAAAATTTAAAAATATAATATGCTTATTGAAAGGCAAACATAGTTCGGAATTTATCGATTTTAGTTCTAATCGGGTTCGGATATTATCGGTTTCAGATCTAATTGGTTTCGGATTTTATCGGTTTCGGGTATTATCGGGTTCGGATCTAATCGGTTTCGGATTTAAATCGGATATGAATTATTTAGTTCGGTTTCGGTTCGATTCGGATCATTTCGGGTTTTCGGTTATAGATCGGATCTTCATTTTTCAGGTCATTTCGGTTTCGGATATTTCGGTTTGGGTAATCGGTTCCGGTTCTGTTTTGCCAGGTCTACATACACCAGTTCCAATGATGCATCGGGTGTTGGAAATTTTAAGTAAATTGGACATTTTTTGAACATAAATTCGGTAGGGTCCACAAAATTATTTTTCGAAATAATTATGGACGTTCAATCTCGTAAGTAAGACGAACGTCTTGACATATGACACGCCATAAACGGTGCTCGGGTGAATGAAAAATTAATTCTCAAAGTTAAATACGAGGGTAGAGTAAATACCCTTGTCCCACACCGGTTTTTGAACCTTTCATATTCTCATATTTAAGCTTAGGCTTTTAATTGAGCTTATGAAAGGAACAAGAACAGGACTCCTCGCGCGGCACCGCCGCCAACGTTCGTCCGGCTCAGCACGACGCGCGCGTCGGGGCGGGGCGGCGCGCGTCGCGTCTGCGGCGTGGCGGGGCTAAATTTTTACGAGACCGAATTAAACACGCGTGGACACTTCGTGATTAACGAAGTGCCGTTGTAATGAGCATGCATGCACTTGAGACCGAAGAGACACTCATCTCTTCGTAATCTCCGACGGTCCAGCAAAGAGCCAAAATTCCCTCCTATAAAAGGAGGGCTTGGCTGCAGGAGAAGAATACACTCAAAAACTCACTCTCTCTCTCTCTCTGCAGTAAAACTCTTCCGACGAATCCCCGATTTCCGATCATCTTCTCCGGCGATAACTTCCCATCGTTCTCATTCGCCGGTGCTATATTCTACCGCTCTAGACTTAGCACGAAGCAGTTTTATCTTGGGAGGAGATTGCCCACGTTTGCTAGTGCGGGAGGCGGGCAATACTACCTTAAGGAAAGCTCCGGCGACTCCGCTTTCCTAACCTTTAGTTCGAGAAACTGCTCCGGCGACGCCTAACCCTCCGTCCGAAGTCACTGTCTTGCTGTCC